ATTAATGCTCACTGCCTGTCGCTTTTGGGCGTAAAACTTGCACCGGAATAGTGTGGAAAATTCGGTGAAGTTGTTGATGATACCATTGCGAAGCTGAGAGTACCATCGACGAGCGTCTCCTCCAAGAGTGGCGGGAAATATTTTACACATGGTGGCATCAGAGGCACCAATAAGCGGCATCAAAATCTCAAAGGAACTGAGATGATCTTCTGGGTCGGTGGTGCCATTGTACTCCGGAAGGTTGGGTATATGGATATTTCCCGGGTATGGCTCATTTAGAATGGCCAAAGCCAGGGGCCGACCGGTACTTGGTTGAGAAAATATCCCCGCGGGAGGGAGTTCTTCGAAGTGAGGAACAACTGGGGGGACATCCTAGGCTGCTGCTTCAGTTGCTGCCGGTATGCCATTCCGATGGTCGTTGGAGGATCCAGGGAGTCCCGTATTCCCGTAGAAAGTTGGTAGAAGGACCGGTGGTGGTTGTGGAGCCTCAGTTGCAGACCGAATCTGAGCACGAAGTCACTCAATTTCAGCCTGCAAATCTTCAACCCTTTGGGATGGCAGAGTTTGCTCAGGGTTTAGACTTGAACCTTGACTGATGTCAACTTGCAGTTGTGAATTTGTTGTATCCATCTCGACTGGTTGAATTGGCAATCTGTAGGTAATAATCTCACCGGGCCCCACGGTGGGCGCCAATTGTTGATGCCAAGCTAAAATAGCCGACCTCGAACGTTGTAGAGTCCGGAGAGCGTTGACCTTTAGGTTGCCGTTGAATTCCAGCTCTCGAGATGAACACCTGCAAAAAAGGACCCGCCGGTTGTGATCGGCTGGGATCTTCTCCAAAGCTCAAATCAGTATTTGGAAATAACCGGGAGCGGCATATTGAGCCGGTTCTAGGGGGAAAGCAAAAGAAATTTCGGGGTTGGAAGTTGCCAATTCGCCGAGAAGAAGTTCGTCGGGAATTCCCCTTTTCCGATCTCGTTCAGAGAAAATGAGTTCTCTGGATTTGAGATGGATTGCCGAGGAAACATAAATGAGCGTCCTATTTATAGGTGTCTCCTGCTCCTGGCATGGGTGGCGTGACTTGACCAACTAATTAAAAACTTTTCTTTGTTGGATGTCAACATACACACCAACAATATACTCACCTTATATGTAAAATGAAAAGAATTATACTTTACCTGCCATTGGCTATACATGTAGCATGCTTTGGATGGAAGACTAATACAAATCAATAGTGTAATGGTTGCTTTGAGGAAATGAACTTTTTCCACCTGGTTATTTACTACGTGTAAGTAAAATGAGGTGGGTTGCATGATATTGCTTTGCTACTCACCACCTCATTTATTCACGTGTAGCTATTTGCATACATGGTTAGTTTGATTGGTGGGATGGAAAATGTTGGCTTGGCTATATTTCCTATTTCAATTCCTAGCCTACGTGGAAGTGAGATGGAGCCATGTCATGAAGTGATAAGGTGGGGGAATTATTTGTCCCAAATGGTTGTTCATGCACTCTGTAGAAAGATGGTAAGTATATCTACAATCTCTCCCTCTCTCCACGTGTAGTAAATTTGGTTTCCATAAACCATCCACCACTAATTAAGCTAGATGGTTCTTACACATGGAAAGGGGAAGTGATGAGGTGTCAATTTTAGGGAGCTTGTGTATATAGATTGGTTGATGGTAATTATCAAATCATCTTCACTTAGCCATGAAGGGAAGTGGTAAATTTGCCACTTGTAGCCACGTGGTGAGAATTGGGCTTACTTGTTTGATGGGAGGTTTAGAGTAGTAAGAGATAGAGGGGTGGTTGTAAGAATGGATCCACCAGTATCCTAGGCCGCCAAGTCTCTGATATAGCCGTAAAAAAACCTTTGTTTCAATCTCCATCCCCACAAAAATCTCATCCTATCACCCTTCGTAGATAGTGCAAGATTCGTTCATGCCATCAGAACAAGCGTGAGGTCCCTTTATGAACGAGAGGAATAAGTGATTTTTACGAACATTTGACAAAGTAGGTGTTTCCATGATAGAAATATATAACATTTCAAAATATTTAAAAAACATGATTTCGATAGTTGGGCGTGCCTATCGGGTTATTGTTCCAAATCGCATGAGACATATGCGTTGATTACTCGATTAAATACATCGTCTCCCATGCGTTGATAGTTATCATTGAACATATAGAAACTAACATTACTTCATTTGTAAACAAAATTTAAACTTTCAAATACAAGGAAAACTTTCCTAGTGTAGAAGGCTGGGCTTAGTCACGACTATAGAGCATATTGATGTCGATTGTAGTGTCGCTGCCAAATTTACCTGGCACTAATGTCAGGATTGTATTTCCTCGAGTCTCTCATAGAACCCTTACTTCGGAAGCAAGGTACAACTCTAGTGAAGAAGAGGTCGGTTTCTGGAGGTTGAGGTGCATCCGGTTTTGCAAAACGTAAGAGTTTGAAATGTAAAGCAGTGTAGAAGATTAAATCCTACGCTAAGTAAGAAGACGAGAGATTAGGGAAGGAAGGCGTTGCATAGACAAGCTTTCCCTAGGTCTTCTAACCATGTGCCCTCGATTATCAATGGCATAAGAGCTCCCGATTTTTAATCCCGTTAGATCCCACCTTGTGCCGAAACATGTACCCAAACTAATGGGCGACAAGGACCCTTCGGATTTTTCCCTTGAGGCATCACGCCGTTCGATCGAATGAAGGTCGATCGAGTAGGACTACTATTTCTAGACCCATCCTAAACAACTAAAATATTTGATCCTTGCACCTCGAAGGAGTGCAGATACATTTTAAGCGCTCATTAGAATCGACAAATAACGAAATAGAGGAAATCAAGCATCACACGACACACATGTGAAAATCATACAATTGTATTAAACAAAATCATCGAGTTTACATGGCTAGAACCCCTAGAGTTCACATACCTACGCAACTAAGGAACATAGGCAGCCATGAGTAGGGATGGCAATGGGTCGGGTTGGGGGCGGGTTTTGCCAAACCCAAACCATGGGTTTATTCGGGAAAAAACCCGGGTTAAAACCACTGGGTTTGAAAAACTCAAACCCAACCCGCTGGGTATCCGTGGGTTCATGGGTACCCGTGGATTTTTGTGTACAAAATTAAATTTACAATAACAAGTTTCTTTCAAAATAAAAGTCTAACATAAATTTTCCATACAAATTATCCATACAAAAACACCAATATAGAGCATACAAGCAAATCGTAAATTACCAATACAAATTGTTTAGCATTAAAGATAAACATCTATAAACAACATGATTAATTGAAAACTTCTTCCTCCTTGTCAACTAACCTTCTTCACTCTCCACTTCATAATATCAAATTCATTCTACACAACTAGAAAGAACAAATTAGACATATCTCCACAAACAAAAAGAAGATTAGTTGTTTAAGAAAGATATATTGTTTGGAATATTAGATATACCGAAAAAATTAATTATATAGGTGTGGGAACCCATGGTGTGGGTATACCTAAATCCAAACCCAACCCATGAATAGTATACCGGGTTTAAACTTGAACCCGACCCAAAACCCGTCAACATGGGTTTTATCCGCGTAAACCGGGTTGGGTCGGGTAGGATACCCGTGGGTTCGGGTTTTGTTGTCATCCCTAGCCATGAGGAGGGGTTCGTGGGTGTTCATCGATGGAAATAAAGACACCAGGAGAACCATTGGAATCGGTGCCTGGAGAAGAGAAAGCAAGTAATGGGGCACCGTTTTGGGAACCGATTCTCACTCATAGGATAGTCTCGTTCTAAGGAGGGTTACTTTGTCGACATTGTAACGACCCTTCCTTAACCTCTCGTCTCCTCCTCTCGAACTCTACCTTTAGGGCTCTATTTGTAGAGCACTCTAAACATGTGGCTAGAGAATCAGGATGCTCCTGGATAACTTCTTGATGAAGTCGACAAGCTCCAGAATGAGCATTTCTTCGAGTTCCACCTAAGAGTCCTCGTTAAGAACCCGATCCAATCACTTTTCCTTAAAGTTATGCACTCAAATCGCTTTTCTAGAAACTAATATAGCATTTGATCGCTTGCCATTTCAAAGATTCGCCTTGATTGCTTTCGACTTCAGCAATCAAGACATCACAGCGTCTGTCTCCAGTGATCAATGACTAAATCTCTTTAGAGTTAGGCAATCAAAGCCCAAACATGCATAGATTAAGAAAATTCTTCTACAACTATTATCTTTTGATTTTTTTTAAGGCCAAATTCATTTGCATAGCCAAAACTTTGACGGTTGTGACAAATATAGCCAATTTTGGAGAAATACCAGAAATAGCCAGATTATTGAAAGTTTGATGACAAATATAGCCATTTCCGTTACATAGTTTGACGGCGTCAATGACACCGTTAGTCTATTTAACGGACAGTTGATGTGGCTGCCACCTCACGTGTCTTTCCTTCCCACCTCAACATCCATTGACAGGTGGGATGCCACGTCACATTAAAAATTTAATTTTTTAATAAATTATTTTTTAAAATTTATTATTTCATATTTTTTCCCCTCACTTCATCTTCACCAACAAAACATCTCTCCCACTCCTTTGTCTCTTTCTCCCCTCTGGTCCAACCTCTCTCTCTATCTATCTCACCCTTTCATTCATCCAAGCCCTCTACCCATCATCTTCAACCTCCGACCAGTAAATCCAGAAAATGATGCCTCCTCAAAATGACCCAATTCAAAACCTGGAATCCAACCCTAGGATCTCGCCGATAAAATCGATTCCACTTTGGGTCATCTCTTGGCTCTACCCATCTTCTTCCTCCTCTGTTGCCGCTAGCGGAGAAGAAGACGATCCCTTCGTAGGTTTGGTGGCGGCGGCTTCGATTCCTTCTAGCGCCGTCCACTCTCAATATCATCCTCTCAGTCAACCGCTTTTCTAACTCCGCCGCCGATGGAGGAAGAGAAAGGAAGGAAGAGAGACATTAATTAATAACAATGTTGGTGTCGGCGTGGGCTGGAGTCGCTGCTGAGCACCGCTTTCTTCTCCGTCTGCCGCCTCCACAGGGACGCCGCGAGGAGCGAATGCAACATGTACTGCCTGGATTGCAAGGGCGAGTCGTTCTGCTTCTACTGCCGCTCTTCCCGCCACAAGGATCATCAAGTCATCCAGGTCAGAGAAGAGAGTTTCTTTTCGATTACCCAATTCGATTCCTTCTAATTGGGGAAAAGGGTAATTGCTAATTAGGGATTTGGGGGATTAGGGGGGAAATGCTGCAGATTCGGAGGTCTTCGTATCACGACGTGGTGAGGGTCGGTGAAATACAGAGGTTGCTGGACATCTGCGGGGTACAGACGTACGTGATAAACAGCGCCAGAGTGATGTTCATGAACGAGCGGCCGCAGCCCAAATCGGAGTCGCCCACATTTGTGAGATTTGCGGCCGGAGCTTGCTCGACACATTCCGCTTCTGCTCGTTGGGCTGCAAGGTAAGATTGCAGAGGAAAATCCGCCATTGATGTTTGTTAGGCCCGGCATTGCCTAAAATTAGGCAAAAGTTCATAGTGGGGGTGATTGCAGAAGAGAAAGCTTCTTGTAGGAAGATGAACAGGCGGTGGTGGTGGGGAGAGAGAAAGACATTTATTTTTTAATGTTTTTATAATTTTTTTAATTTAATTTGTTAAAAAATATAAGTATAAAATTTTAATTATTTTCCACCTAACATTATATTTTAATAAAATATGCCACGCCAACCACTGCTGTTAGTCCAGTCAGCACGTTAACTAACACCGTCAAACAATTGGACGGAAGTGGCTATTTTTGGTATTTCGCCAAAAGTGGCTATATTTGGCAAAACCGTCAAAGTTTTGACTATACAAGTGTATTTGGCCTTTTTTAACAACTAGAAAAATATCCCATAATGAGAAGAAAAATAACAGAACAAAGAGCTGGAAGGGCACCACACAAGCCTTTTCTTTTGTACAATTTTAGTGGCTGGCGCTGCCTCTTCAATCTTCACCGGCGAAGTGGAGCCCGACCGGAGAAGATGGGTCTACAGGTCTACTGCTAGCACCTTTTTCTTAAACAAACTTTATGAAGTACGAAATAATTGAAAAAATCTGGGCGGCTGGCTTCCAATTCCCAAATATTGCCCTGCTCTCTCACACTGCAACTCAAAGTGCCCAACCTACCACTCTTGCAGCGGCCACTTATCTCCCACTCAACGAGTGCTTTATTTCACAAAAAATAAATTCTTTCTTCCACAATTCCATGTCCGTCCCGTGATTCCAACTTTTTGCCTCCATCTTCCCCCCTCTTCATCTTCTCCAGTAAACGACACAATCCCTCCTATCTCGTGAAGACTTCTCAGCGATTCCTCATCTTTTTAAATCCGTTTGTAAAATGGAGCCACTCCGACTCCAATGGCTAGACCCACTTCAATGGCAGAAACCAAATTGCCTTTCTCTGCGCTCAGTGTTGTACTCCTTTCCCTTCTGCTCCCCTTTCTGGGTTCTGCTCTTACTGCTGGTGGCTCGATTCTGTCTCCATTTCCTCGGCAATATCAGGTACAAAACCCCCGCATTTCCCCATTGGAGAGAGCTTTACCACTCTTTGTAGTCTTACTTGTAGACTGTAGTTGTTGATTTAATATGCTTAAATTGGATTCAGCATTACGATATGAATGAATGAACATAATTGGTGGCAATGTTTGTTGTCTACTTATCTAGTATTCTAGTTCAACACCTGTGACACTGATTTGTGCTTCTCTTTTGTAAAGAGCAAATATGGAGAGGTTGCTGCTGCTGTGGGGGCTAACAACATAATACTGAATCCAAGGTTTGAGGATGGACTCAAGAATTGGTCTGCAAAAGGTTGCAGGGTCGAGTTACATGAATCAATGGCTGACGGGAAAATTGTGCCTCAATCGGGGAAACTCTTTGTTTCAGCAACAGATCGTACTGAAACATGGAATGGCATTGAGCAAGAGCTCACTGGACGTGTACAGCGAGAGGTTGCTTATGGGGTTACTGCTATAGCTCGGATATATGGCAACGTTACTGCTGCTACTTTGCAGCTCACTTTGTGGGTTCAAGAGCAAGACCGTCGTGAAGAGTATATATCTATTGCCAGGTAAGTTTTCTCTTTGTTTTCAAGTTTGAAAACAAAGTTAACGTTTACCATTATATAATGAGGATATGGTGGCTTTGTGCTGCAGCTTGCAGGTAACAGACAAAGATTGGGTGCAATTGCAAGGGGAGTTCCTTCTTAATGGCTTCCCGTCAAGAGTGATTATATACTTCGAAGGTCCACCGGCAGGCACTGATATTCTTATCAATAGTTTGATTGTTCAGCATGCTGCCAAAATGCCTTCGTCAGCCCGCCCAGTTTTCCAGGTCAGTGAATCTTTTTGGTCCCCTCCATTTGTATCATTTGACAAGACATGGATTCTGAAATCCAGGTTTTAAACTCTTTATAGGATCCCCCATTTGATGTGAATGTGATTGAGAACAGCAATCTCGATGATGGCACAACTGCTGGCTGGTTTGCACTAGGCAATTGCTTACTGACTGTGGAAAGAGGTTCCCCGTATGTTCTCCCTCCAATGGCAAGAGATTCACTTGGTCCTCACGAGTCATTGAGCAGTCAGTACATGCGAGTAACCAACCGAACCGAGTCTTGGATGGGTCCTGCACAGATAGTGACCGACAAACTGAGAGTGTACTTGACGTATCAAGTATCAGCATGGGTTCGAATCAGTCATGGAGGCACAACTGGTCCTCAGTTTGTGAATGCTGCACTGGGAGTTGATGGGCAGTGGATCAATGGCGGTGAAGTTGAAGTGAACGATGGAAACTGGCATGAGATTGGAGGGTCTTTCAGGCTTGAGAAGCAGCCGTCTAATGCTATGGTTTATGTCCAAGGACCTGCATCAGGTGTTGACTTAATGGTTGCTGGGCTTCAGATTTTCGCTGTCAACAGGAAGGCAAGGTTTAGTTATTTGAGGAAGCAAGCTGATAAGGTAACTTAGTAGAAATGGCGTATTGATTTTGCTTCATTATACTCCGACATGGCTAACAGTTTTTGCTTTGTGTGAGGTAGTAAAGGTCAATTCATCCTTAAAATTCACGATCCATTTATTACAGTACAGAGTACACTTTTCTAAATCTGGCACCCAAACAACAAAATTTTGAAAATGTTAAGTGTCACTGTCCAAACATTTTAAATCCATGGTCTTGGTACAATTCATCACTTTTCAAATCCAACATCCAAATGATCCCGTGATTGTTCTTTCCCCTTGCAGATACGCAAACGGGATGTCGTTTTGAAATTCTCAGGATCTGGTCTCAGCAACAGTTCTGTTAGCGTGAAGCAGATGCAAAATAGTTTTCCTCTGGGTTCTTGTATCACTAGAACAAGCCTGGACAATGAAAATTTTGTCAAGTTCTTGACAGACAATTTCAACTGGGCTGTGTTCGAAAACGAGATGAAGTGGTCATGGACAGAACCTCAACAAGGTACCTTCAATTACAAGGAAGCGGACGAGATGTTAGACTTCTGCAAAACCCACAACCTGAAAGTCCGAGGTCACTGCATCTTCTGGGAAATGGAGTATGCAATCCAGTCATGGGTTCGATCGCTCAATGAAAGTAGCTTAACCAATGCTGTTGAGAACCGACTTTATAACCTTCTCACACGGTACAAGGGGAAGTTCGATCACTATGATGTAAACAACGAGATGCTCCACGGATCTTTCTACCAGGGGAGATTGGGTTATGATATTAGAGCCCACATGTTCAGAACTGCCCACCAGCTCGACCCATTGGCAGCCCTTTTTGTTAATGACTATCACATTGAGGATGGAAGTGACGTTGGTTCAACGCCAGAGAAGTACATCAAACAAGTCCTCGACCTTCGAGAGCAAGGCGCACAAATTGGAGGGATTGGTGTTCAGGGGCACATCGAAGTTCCAGTTGGGTCTATTGTTTCTTCTGCCTTTGATAAACTTGGCACTCTTGGACTGCCCGTATGGATAACTGAACTTGATGTGTCTTCCGCCAATGAGTTTATCAGAGCCGAAGATTTGGAAGTAATGCTTCGGGAAGCTTTTGCTCATCCTGCCGTGGAAGGTGTGGTTCTCTGGGGATTTTGGGAGCTGTACATGTCAAGGAAGAATGCACATTTGGTGAATGCAAATGGCAAGATCAACCAAGCTGGGAAAAGGTTTCTGTCTCTTAAAAAAGAATGGCTGTCTCAGGCCAATGGCGGGATTACCGAGCAGGGAGAGTTCAAATTCAGAGGCTTTCATGGGACTTACGACGTTGAGATTGTGTCGTCGTCGTCACAGAGAATAAGCAAAACATTCATTATCGATAAAGGGTATTCCCCACTGGTAGTGTCCATCGACCTAATGTGATTAAAGTTTGAAACTTTGTTGTTTCTGTTTCAAGGAAATTTTTCAGAGAAGACTTAAAAACTTTATCTACTGTTATGTTTCCTGTGTGGGGGGAAGGGTGGGATATTGAACGCCCATCTTCCGCCACCTAACTTCAGTTTATAAAATTCAACTAGATTTAAAACATCTCAGTCTTGGAACCAAAGCCTTCTGAGAATTGGGATATTAGAGTGGAGAAGAAAGAAGAATGGAGGATACCCTAATACCCTATGGGCTTATAGCCTATAAGCCTTCTATTCCAATTCAAGCATCTCCAATCCTGCAAGACAAAGGCAATTGCAGTACACGAGAAGTTTGCCGTTCCGGATGAAGACAGCAATGTAAAAGAACTGTGGATAAATGGGTTCATTTCTTTCTTTCAGTTTGGGTCGGAATTGGAAGGGAAGCAAGCTAGTTGATTTGCATTAACTAATTTCAGTTTCCTTCTTTCGTTTTTGGATGAACACTTTGCTGCGTCAAGCTAACGGCTTTTCCCCCATTTTTCTATTTCCCTTTTCTCTCTTTTCTGTTTGAAGGGATGTGATTGGCTGCTGGGTCACTAGACGCGGGTAGTTGGAGCCGAGGTTTTCGTAGAGTTTACTTGAACGAATGCAACTGCAAGCAAAGACAATTCAACTTGTTTCACGGAAACTGGAAAAGTCCGCCAAATAAGGGACGCCCTGTTTTCGAAAGCGGCGGGAAGGGTATAAAAATGAGGAGGATCTCAGTCTGCTGCTTCACCGGTCAAGCGGCTAATACTAATCGCCGGAAGAAGAAGCAAATTCAGGTGGCCATTTCCCGAATCTATCTCTCTCTCTCCCTGTTCACATTTCTTTAAGCAGATTCAGCTGTTCAAATAAATGTATACATCTGCCGCCGAAAGCTCATGTTTTTAGTTGCTTTTTTCTTGGGTTAGGAATCCAAACCATCAACGGAAAACAGAATGGAGCAACCCCAGATGACGAACAATGGCAATGGCGCTGGCAATTCGGAGGTAATCAAATAATAATGAATTAATGTGTGTTGACCCAAAACCCTCGAGGACGAACAGGAAGATTTGTTTAATTTATTAAGGTGTATTTTTCATATTAAGATGCATTTTATTCTTGACTCGGTATGGGGGTTGGCGAAATGGGATTCTTGTGAATTAAGCTATCAGGTGATTGGGAACTTCCACAGCTTGTACTGATCTGTGGCAAAAGACCTTTTCATTTTTCAAGCTAACTTATATTTTAACAAACTTCACCGCATTCCTCAAATTTTCACTGACCAGTATTTAGTTCATTGGCTTCCTTACTTACCCAAATTCATCAGTGTCTTGTTACTTACACCCAAGAATCATTTGAAAGCTCGAGGAGTCGATTTGAAAGTTCTTAATCCTTATTAAAGTAGTTGCTGCTGGAATGCCTTTGAATGAACTCTCCTGGTGCTATCATCATTAATCATTATGAGATGCAGGACTACTTTGGTGCCAGGATGAAGTATCTTCTTCTGGTTAACTATTATCTAAACAACAATAAATCTTCCACACAATAAAAATGGTCTAGTTTGTGCTAGATAGGATATTACTTGAAAGCAATGTTGTCAAAACCGAAAAGGAGCATGAACCGATATAGTGAGCGGCTCGCACTTTATTGGTTTGACCGGTATTAGGCCGTTAAAAAACCGTTAACGAACCGATACCTTGTAAACAAGAATATCATAACTACTAAACACATAAAAACACACTAAACCATAAATTAAAAGTAGAATTCATCACTATTAAACCAATTTTAAATTTAGTACTAAAGTTCCAAGGTTCAAACATGAACCATATTGTTTTCAAATAAAAGCAACAAAACAATAGTAAAATTTGTATATTTTTCCATTTTAGATCTAAAATCCAAAATTTAGATTCCTACTCATAACCCTCTAGAATTATGAAAATGTTATGGAAAGAAACCTAATTTGTCCATAATTACCCAAAATAAAATTGAAAAAAAACTAAAAAATTATCCGACCGAAATGTGCAGATGGCATTGGGAAGGAAAGACGTTCTCATAATTTCATTTCCAAGGCCGCGCATGCAATAACATCTAGCCATCTACCCTTTCCCATAAGAGTCTGAATGTGTTTTTTAACAAAAAAAAACTAATGATCACTAAAAGAATATTGGTGCACCGTAAAAAGAGATGAAAAAGGCTATTTTCCCGGGAAGCGAGGAGACAGCCCAGGATGAAGTATCTTCTTCTGGTTAACTAGTATCTAAGCAACACTAAATCTTCCACACAATAAAAATGGTCTAGTTTGTGCTAGATAGGATATTACTTAAAAAGACTTTTTTTTTATTTGCTCCTACCTGTTCTCGACAGACTGTGGGTGATAGTATGGGTAATTCAAACAGCAGCAACAGCAAAACAAACATCATCGTAAACCATGACTTCTCTCAAGGGCTTCAATCCTGGCACCCAAATTCTTGTGAAGGATTTGTGGTTTCATCCGACTCGGACAACCCAGGGCTTCTTGCAAGACTAGTTGGCGGTTATGCAGTTGTTTCAAACCGGAAAGAAAGCTGGCAGGGTCTTGAGCAGGATATCACTGCTAGGGTTTCTCCCTGTGTAACTTACTCAGTATCTGCTATTGTTGGTGTATCGGGTCACATTCAGGGGTCAGCAGAGGTTATTGCAACTGTGAAGCTCGAACAACAAGGCTCAGGAACCCAATACTTGCGTGTTGGAAAGTAATGATCTGTTAACCTCTCCTCTTTTTGCGTTCTTTGTCGTCCATCAGTATCATACTTAATGCAGTGATCACTTGCAGATCTACCGTATCGAAGGGTCAGCTTGAAAAGTTGGAAGGCGACTTCTGTTTGTCAACTATGCCTGACCGGGTGGTCTTCTATATCGAAGGACCTTCTGCAGGAGCTGACATACTTATAGCATCAGTGATCATTTGCTGTTCTAAGCAAGGAAATGACAATGATGTAAGCAGCAGCAGCTCAACTAATGTGATACTAAACCATGACTTCTCTCAAGGGCTGCAGTCATGGCATACAAATCAATGTGATGGCCATGTGGTTTCCTTAGACTTGGGTCATCCAAGACATCTAGCCAATGACGTCGGTTCTTATGCAGTTGTATCAAATAGAACAGAAAGATGGCAGGGCCTTGAACAAGATATCACGAGCAAGGTTTCCCCTGGCTTAACATACTCAGTTTCCGCCCTTGTTGGAATCTCTGGGCCTACTGAAGGGTCATCTGAGGAGGCCCTAGCAACTTTGAAACTCGAACACACCGGTTCAGGAGCAAACTATATGCTTGTTGGAAAGTATGATCTTCTGGATTCAACTTTCTTTATCTACGTTATCTTTTAGTGAAGTATGAATCATTCTCTAATCTGGGTAGAATTGCAGAACTTCTACGTCCAAGGGGAAATGGAACAAGTTGGAAGGAACATTCTCACTTTCGACTATCCCTGACCGTGTATTCTTTTACTTAGAAGGACCTTCTCCCGGAGTGAACCTCCTGATAAAATCTGTCGTCATCTGCAATCCTGATTGCAGCAAGCCCAAGGTAAATACTCCCGACCAGTGTAGTCAAACTATACATTCTATGTCAGATTGAAAAGCATGGTAGAACTGGAAGTGTACAAGTGAATTGAAGAATCGTAAGATTCCATGTGTCATGCAAAATGATTACATTTTTCAACGTTTTGTCTTTTTTCAGAGATTCAAATCAATTTATTACAGAGCAAAAGATGTGAAATATTTGGTGTCTGAAAGCAATTCAGAATCCTATTTCTATAAGTTGCAACAACGGCATTGATTTTTCATATAACCTATTTCAAATGTCTAATTCGTGTCTTTTTTTTCTTAGCTATCTCTAAACATTCAGAATCTTGTGATTTCAACTCAATTAGTATTCAGTACTCATCCTTTACCCACACCTAAGGTAGTCATTCTACACATTTTGCAAGAAATTAAAAACCAATTTTAAATAAGAATAGTAAACTTATATCGTATAATCGTAAGATTTTGTGAACCGCATATGAACTTGTGAAATATGATTCTCAGTAATAGGATCATATGATCTTATCCATATTTAATATTTAATATCTGGTGTAAATTCTGTCCTTAATCTACTAAGGTCATTGATTCCGCTAGTAAAATCATAAAATTATATGACAAATGATCACACTATCTTTACTTGAGTAAACTCCTAAAAGTGGTTAAGTTATTAGGAGTTTATACTTGGGATTTCTCTGCACTGCTCTTAAAAGTGTTACTCTAGCCTTTCTATTTTGTTTGCCGTTTCTTGCTGCAATGTTTCAGTACATAATCATAAAAGTATGCATCTTAAATTGGGCAGGACTCATTTTGTGGGAGCGCTGCAAAGGACGATGAGAACCTCATTGTGAATCCTAACTTTGAGGATGGTTCCAATAACTGGTCTGGAAGAGGGTGCAAGATCGCTGTACAGAATTCTGCAGCAGATGGGAAGATTGTGCCTCAGAGCGGTAAAGTGTTTGCAGTAGCAACAGGACGAACGCAGAACTGGCATGGAATTCAGCAGGAGATAACTGGGAGAGTTCAAAGGAAGCTTGCTTATGAGGTGACTGCTGTAGTTCGAATTTATGGTAACAACGTCACAAGTGCTGATGTCCGAGCTACATTGTGGGTCAAAAATCCTGATAATAGGGAACAATATATTGGGATTGCCAAGTTAGTCTCTTTTCCCTTCTCCCAACTTAAGTTTCCTCTTCTTCTGACTGATTTTCTCTATCATGCTCCAGAATCACGATGAAAATGTTACACCTTTGGTAATTGGTATATGATATTACCATATCTCTTCTGTTTCTGATAAAAAGTTGAGAATGAAATTTTAACACTTGAGCATACTAGCATGTAAATGACCATTCTTATATCAAAAGGATGACTAACGATATTTTGAACTATGGAGTATAGATGCTTACTATGATGTATTTTGCTTACATTCAACATGATTTATATGGCGTTATAGGTAGAAGATGTTTTCTTTTAGATTCCCAAAAGCTTACTGCGTTTAGGCAAGCTTTACTCTTAACTCTTAAGAGACTGATATGATTCAAAGTTTAAGATTTCAATTTTACATAGGTTTTTTATTCCGTGTAACTACATTGGGTGTGGATAGAGGCCTTAAACTTTGAATGTTTACAAATTACAACACTCTGACGCCCCTGATTCCATCCTACTTTTCTATTCTATCTATACTTTGAGTGCCTAGGCATTGATAAATTATTTTGCTGTACAGTTTGCAGGCAAAAGACTCGGAATGGGTGCAGCTGCAGGGCAAGTTCCTTCTGAATGGCTCTCCTAACAAGATAGTTGTTTATCTAGAAGGTCCACCTCCAGGGACTGATCTTCTCGTAAACAGCTTCACACTTAAACATGCCACGAAAGTCCCTCCATCGCCACTTCCCATAATCGAGGTTGGGCTCCTGCATTTAAAAAACTTGTAACATAACAGCCTTTCGATGGTCCTTTAACCTCTGACCGCGATCTTGATTCTCTTTCAGAACCCTGCATTTGGTGTCAACATACTTCAGAACAGCAATCTGAGCGATGCAACCAATGGGTGGTTCCCACTGGGCAATTGCTCTCTCAATGTTGCAACTGGTTCACCACACGTGCTTCCTCCCATGGCGAGAGAATCTCTTGGAGTCCATGAATCTCTGAGCGGACGCTGCATAGCCGTCACCAAGAGAACACAGACGTGGATGGGACCTGCACAGATGATCACTGATAAAGTCAAACTGTTCTTGACGTATCAGATATCTGCCTGGGTGAAGATTGTGCCTGGAGCTGCCAGTGGTCCTCAGAATGTGAATGTAGCACTTGGTGTGGATAATAATTGGGTGAATGGTGGACAGGTCGAGATCAACGACGATAGGTGGCACGAAATCGGTGGCTCCTTCAGAATCGAGAAGCAACCTTCCAAGGTCATGGTCTACATCCAAGGTCCCGCTGGTGGTGTCGATTTCATGGTCGCCGGGCTTCAGATTTTTGCTGTTGATCGTGTGGCCAGATTCAAGCACCTCAGAAGACATGCTGACAAGGTAAGCTCCCGCCTCCCAGTCAAGTAATGTCTCTCATTTCGAGTCCTTTTCACAAGGCAAAATCATTTTTCCTGCTGCAGATTCGGAAGCGTGACGTGACCCTGAAATTCACAGGAGGAGACTCAAGCAGCCTGCACGGCACATTCGTCAAAGTCCGACAAACACAGAACAGCTTCCCCTTGGGAACCTGCATAAGCCGGACCAACATCGACAACGAAGACTTCGTCGACTTCTTCGTCAAGAACTTCAACTGGGCCGTGTTCGGCAACGAGCTGAAGTGGTACTGGACGGAGTCCCAGCAGGGCAACCTCAACTACAAGGATGCTGACGACCTGGTGGAACTCTGCCGAGCCCACAACATAGACATGAGAGGCCACTGCATATTCTGGGACGTCGACGGCACGGTCCAGCCATGGATCAAGTCCCTAAACAAAGACGACCTAATGAAAGCAGTGCAAAACCGCATCACCGATCTCCTCACCCGATACAAGGGCAAGTTCAAGCACTACGACGTGAACAACGAAATGCTGCACGGTTCGTTCTATCAGGACCGGCTGGGGAAAGACATCCGGCCCTACATGTTCAAGACCGCGAATCAGCTCGACCCATTTGCAGCCCTGTTCGTCAACGACTACCACGTGGAGGACGGGTGCGACACCAGGTCGACTCCAGAGAGGTACATTGAGCAAGTTCTTGACTTGCAGGAGCGAGGTGCAGCAGTGGGAGGGATCGGGATTCAGGGCCATATTGACAGTCCGGTTGGGCCCGTGGTCTGTTCGGCGCTGGATGGGCTGGGAATATTGGGCCTGCCGATCTGGTTCACGGAGCTGGACGTGTCGTCGACGAACGAGTACATACGGGCCGAGGATTTGGAGGTGATGCTGCGGGAAGCGTTTGCGCATCCGTCGGTGGAAGGCGTGATGCTGTGGGGGTTCTGGGAGCTGTTCATGAGCAGGGAGAATTCGCATCTGGTGGAAGCGGAAGGGGAGGTGAATGAAGCTGGGAGGAGGCTGCTGGCTTTGAAGAAAGAGTGGCTGTCTCATGCTAGTGGGGAGATTGACGAGAGTGGTGAGTTTGGGTTCAGAGGGTTTCATGGGAGCTACCGTGTGGAGGTTGTTGGGCTGTCGAAGAAGGTGACCAAAACGTTTGTGGTTGAGAAGGGTGATGGTGATACTCCGTTGGTTCTGAACATTGATCTCTCGAGTTCTTGAAGGTGGTTGGTTTGGTGAAATTCTTTAACTAGATAAGCAAAGAATAAGGGGGGGATTACTGGGCTAAATGGAATGTTTGTCATTATTGTTTACTTTGTGCAATATTTGTACAAAAGGAAAAGGCCCATAAGATAAAAATACGTGTATGAATGACTAAAGAAAGAAGTGGGTTTGGTTTATGTTTCCTTGCTAATTGATCGAAATGTTTTAATCTAGATTTGGCTTTGTAATAAAATGATTAAAATGTTTAAAAAGCAATAAAAGTATCAATATGTATTATGATATAATAAAATAATTATTTTGCTTTTTTTTCCATGCAAAATATTTGCTGACTCACTACAAAAATTAAGAAAAAATATAAGATGCCTTACCGACTCTTAAACAGTTAAACATAGCAAGCTAATTAAGTATTTAAAATGAAAATATGTTATATTGTGATCACTTTGTTACCGACACCCATTGCACTTTCTTTTTATCAGTTATCCATGTTTCATTTGCGGGTTAACGGCTAATTTAGTCCTCACATAAGCTTCCCTAGTACAATTTTTAACAAAGAAATCCTTCTAATGTTGGGTATCTAACTGAATCGATTGGGTTGGGAGAAATCAACAAATATTACTTTTGCTTGGATTTTCCCCAAAAAAATCGACATAGGAATAGGATAATGGGTTTTGATCGATGCAGTATTAGTATTTTAGGTATTGAAGCTGAGCCTATTCGAGCATGTGTTATAATTCACTTGGTTTAACACTTCGATCATCATATTCCTCAAGTATCAACCTGGCTTTTGTGCTCAAAGCACAATGAGTGCATACGTGCTCACAGAGGTTGTGAGCCAAGAGATAAGTGTTCGGTGCCTCCTGGTTGTTGGATGGATGTGGTGTCAATTTCATAAATAAATATCACTGAGCTCGTCCAGAGGTCACGGATGCTCAGGGCCTGATCCGACAACGTCCAACCTCTGTGGGCACCATAGTCGAGCTTCTCAAGAATTATTATTATTATTATTATCTCTTAGACACAAATCTTGCTCTAGACATTTCAAGAAATTTTTCTCATTGCATCAAACAACTTTACATATGATTGTGGTGGAGATGGAGCATAAGGATTTTCCCCTCGAGGTATATGATCAGTAGGTTTTGGTATAGCATATGATATCATTGTCTACTTTTTGGTTACAATTTTAAAAAACCCGTAATTTGGAATGCTACATAGGAAAATCAACCCGCCCAAAGTCATTGCTAAACCTAGTTATGCGCTTTCTTTCATCAATTAATGTTATTATACATCTTTGTTGACATATATGGTACGTATGATTAGAACGAACCCCAACCTTAATCACATATATGGATGAGGAAGACCAGGAAACAGTCTTATCTTTCTTGGTCTGGAAGACCCAGACTTCCCACATGGCTGAAATGCTAGCTAGCTAGCTACTAGTAGTAGTAGTCGTGTATGGTTCCTTCCCTCGAGTCTTTCACTTCCCTTCCCTTGTTGTTGGCCAACCAAAATTCTTGCATCAAATCACTCATCGATTTATCAGTGGCAAGAAATTAGGGCCGTGAAACTGAAAAACCCAGAAACCAGACAAAAACTCGGATCAATTTACAGAATTCCACTTCCACTTTTTGCGAGAAGTAGAGAGGGATGAATGGATGGATGGATGGGAAATGGGGCGCGCGTAGGGTAGAATAGAGGTGAAGGTGGAGGGGCGTCGGCATCAGACGAGGGAACGTTTGATGTGATCGGCAGCGGGACCTTTGTCTTTCTTTCTGCTCCCCGCAGGCCCCAACTCTCTCTCTCTCTCTCTCCCTGCGTTTTCTTTATTATATATACGATTCAATAAATAGGCTTCGAACTGTACGTAGATTTTTAGGAGCGTTCTACATATTCAATTTTCAGGGAAAACTGTAAAAGCGTACGCCATCATTCTCAAAATAACCTTCGTGATATATTGCCAGCATATGCATACACTAAAAATCAGTGTTTGTGGTTGTTTTACGATTGGTTCGATATATAAGAGATAGGGTTCCTTAAACATCAAAGGCTGGAATATATAACTACAGCCTAGTCGAGATTTGAATCCAAAGCACATTTGAGTTCCACCTGCTTTACGGGTTGACCACTTTGCATGTGTCGACACTAACCATTACTTTAATTAAGACTTGAACACATGTAATTAGCCTCCACCCATGAAAATTTGCAGTCTAGGGTTTCGTAATCTTTACCCAACTAGGGCTCTAAATAGGCCAAGCTCTTCATCAACGACTAGGTGTTTGATTCGGGAAAAACTAGTTCGAAAGTTGGCTTGTTAGTGTTTGAACTAACTCTTGTTTAGCTTGCGAGGGTAGCAAATTAATCAGATCGACTCGGTGACTCATTGATCTCAACTCGTGAGTTTCTTGTGTCGAACTCATGAACTGGCTCGACATGTGGCAAACAAGCCAACTCAACTAGAATCTTGTTATGGAATTTATCTATAGCGCTTACGGGTTAGGTTGATGATAATTCATAAGTTTGTTAGACAATATATTTTGCAACATATGATTGTTTAATACTTTGAGTACATGTCCAAATATATCTCATTTATAATTTGGAAGAAAAATTATTTATTATAGATGATTGCTTAAAAAGAAATTACTATTAAATAATTAATATGTTATGGACTCGTTAAAATTTATGAACTAAATATTATACCAATATATTATATAAACATGAAAACGATTAATTGTGAAAAATTGATTTTCTTATATATCATGACATTAATTAATCACATGTATCATATATGACATACATTCTATGTAATCTATGAATTATTATAGAGTTTAATTTAGAGATTCAACCATTTTGAGTCATGAATGAACCGAGCTCGAGTCGAGCTCTATGAGTTGATTGATGAGTCAAACTCAAACGAAACTTGTGAGCTCGTCAATGATTCGGAGCTCCAGTTGAGTTAGAGGAGAAGTTGAGCTAAGGTTTTTGTAAACTATCCCAACTCGATTTTAACTCATTCTTTTAACTAATTAATTGGGATGTTCAAACGGTTAACATGGTAATTATCAAACCAGTTAATCCTATGATAGGTGTCCATATGTTGTTGTCTACAATCCACAAGAACAAATATAGTATGAGAACATTTATGAGCTTTATTTTTTCGATGAGTCCAAACGAGAGGAACACTTAACTCTATCTTGAGTTGTTATGCATATGAGTATATAAGATATCAGATATACAACTAGCTAATTGATTTGATTGGTTGACCGTTTCTTTAACCAAACTAAACAACCTAAAAAATTTAACCAAACAAAAATTACATATTCAAATTAACCGAACCAAATTTATTAAAATGGTTAGCACGATAACCACTGCATTGAAACACCCCTACAACCCTACTAAACCCTACAACCCTACTAATCAAGACTGAACTTGTGAAAAGTCTACTAATTTCTACTGGTTTGCGGCCCTAGCTTCAATTAAGAGGTAAGAACGTGGTGATGAAAAAGATAATTTAGGGAGAGGCAGTGCTTGAAACATACGTGATAGGACTAACGAACAATGAGAGTGAGAGAGAGAGAGAGATAGAGAGGGAATGGGGTGGGGGATAGATGATGGTGATGGTGATAGACTGATGGTGACAGTGATGGGGCAAGGCAGGCAGGCAGGCAGTAGTAGTAAAGTGAAGTGAAGTGAATGTGGAATGGGAAACAGCTCCCGCGCTGTTTTCGCGCGCCTCTCCCCTTTCCTTTCCGATTCTCAAAATCTGCTCGCCCCACATTCTGGCCCCACACCCCACCAATCTTCCTCCTCCCTTTCTCCCTCTGCACCACCCAATTTTAACAATTTTCTTGTTCCTTCCCTCTTCCTGGTAAAAAGTAAAAAAAACATGGGTTCAATACAGTTAACATTTTCCTCGTCAAATATAACCAGTACTAGTAGTAGTGTATGCAGGTCACCTGGAAGAAGTAAATTAGGATTTAGGGCTAGCTTTCGGAGTTGTTCATCACTTGGTAGGATTGCTGACTCTGTAAGTAAAAATCAAGGAAAAGATTAGGAGGAAAAGAAGAGCCAGATGAGATGAGGTGACACGTACCTCATGACCTTTTTTTCCCCCTTTGCATTCTGGCTGCTTTTTGCATCAACTTTCAACTCAACTGATGCCGCCTCGACTCTTGACTCTTTTGGGGGTACACTTACACTACACTGCATTTTTTTTCTCAACTGGTGCCACAGAGAATCTTGAAGCTTTGCCTGTGCATAGTAGTTGGTATTTGGTTCAGTGTCTGATCCCGTGATTGCCAGCCACCCACCACTTTTACTTTGACCGCATACTGAAAATCTCGTGTACCAAAAATTCAGGTTTTTCTTTTTCCAACCTCAACTCCGGTTAAATTGTTAATTAATGAGCAGTAAACACACACACACGTACGTTCGTACATATATATAAAACGTTGGAGGCAGTGCATGCAGCAGTGGCATCTGACAATGAGGAGCAGTTTACGCAATTTCCCGATGCCAACAACAGCACCTGCATGCATGGTTCCAGAGCTAGTGGCAGCGTCGTCGACCGCCATCCAACGCCTGCTACTGTACCTTTTTCGTGTTCCTGTCATCTTCTTGCCTGCCTATCTAACTTTCTGTTTCTTCTTCTATTTTGAAAAAACTTTTTGCATAATTTAATGCAACAACCGCATCAATTTATGGACTCATGACAAGGGAGAGAAGGGATTGCCAACCCAGATCCTAATCCCACCCCATCATCGATACATAGGGGGTCTCAATTCAGGTTCGGTTTTTCGGTTTTAACCAAACCCGAACCGATAGGATTCATTATCGGGTTTTCGGTTTCGGGTTTTATTTTTCGATTTCGGTTTCGGGTTTAGCTAAAAATAAAAACACTTCGTATCACATAGGGTGTTTTCGTTTTCGGGCTTTGGTTTTCGGTTTTTCCTTAACCTAACCCGAAATCGTTAAGAGATTTTTCGGTTTCGCGTAACCAAAACCGAAAACTCCCTTATCGATTTCGGGTTCGGTTGCCAAAGGATAATGGTTTTCGGTTTTTCGGGTTTTGTGGGTTTCAGTTCGGTTACTGAACCCGAACCGAACCAACATCCCTATCGATACATCCGGGGTCCGATTGTCTCATTGACACCGACTTCATTTCATGACTTCTTAATTTGATAGCGTTGGTTCACTTACTAACAACATAGCTGAAAAATGAAACCCTAAAAGTCTTGATCCATTTCATTCATTGCATCAGAATATTATGGTTGTTCTAGCACAAACA